AGACAATGTTTAGACAATAGCGGCAAAAAGTATGATTTGAGAACAAGCAAAAACCTTCGCAGCGGAAAAAAATGTAAAGTCGGACTACTGAGCAGTAGAAAGTAGCTTTTAATTATAATCCGACGATATTTTTTGGCCTCACTAAACAATCCTACCGAGCGGTTAAAAAGAGCGTAGCACAAAAGCTGTGGGCTAGTGACAAAACGTCTGAGCAGAAGAACACCGAAAAAACTTCAGATCACGTCTTGGTTAGGAGTGGAAGTGATGCAGTTCCCCAATCAGGGCTCATCCTCGGAACTTTCGTCATTGATTGGCTCCTCAGTCTCTACAATGGCAGTCAGATAAGGGAGAGTGAGTGCGGCAAGGGGATGTTAAATAGCAATTTAAACTACACCTTGTAGCGGGCGTAGGATCTCGGGGTTGGCTCACACCTAAAAGAATAGATCGCCTGTTCAGGTCTCGGGATTTAACTGTGAATGGGGTTGTTATGCAGCACAACGCAAAAGCGAATATAGAGGCAGAAGAATAGCGAGATAGTAACACATTAGATCTGCTGATATTATATTGCGCTAACTCCTTCGTAATCTTCGCATTGTGAAAAGACGCCTCGAGGCGAATAAAATAAAGTTCCGCTGCCTGTTGCCATAACTCGGGCACGGACGCTGTTACGGAATTAATGAAGGTAGCATAAGAGGATTGGTCATTATGTAGTCAAAAAATAAAAAAGGATATACTGCAAGTGGCCAGAAGGGTATATGTGTATCAGAAGGTAATGATCGTTATGTCGGAAAAGTCACCAAAGAGGTTGGAGAGCTAAAACACTATCGGGAGTAACAAACGATAGAAATTGCGTCTATTAAGTCACCGGGTAAGTAAACGAGGAATTACAGTTCGTGTACAAGTGGCATATGGATTTCTCATCGATACATGCCGATACATGTGCTTTGGGCCTGAAAGGCTGCCACAACATGTTGCCCAAAGACTGAATGTTCCAACATCAAGGACTACGGTTTTAGCTACACCAATAAATTATATCTTTCACGTCACGCCGATAGAATTACAGCCAAAGCTGCACAGATTCGTGGCTTTATTTCTTATAATTTCTATCTTCCTGAGATGAAATTAAGACTTTATCCTGGTTTTTTCATCCTAGAATACTGTTTCCCATTCTTCAGTCTGATGAACGAAGGTATCCCTTCAAAGATTGAAAGCCCCAAAAGACGTTTCACAAGAAAAATTGCTTTATCCGACGTTTTCCAACACTTCTTGTTCATATAGATGCCAATTAAATAAACCAAGATTTCTCTGGGTCAGGAGATTGGAAGCAGGCTTTTGTCTCCTTTTTCACCTCAATAATAGTAAAAATCTCCCCAAAATTTCTGTCATTACCCCCGTCAGCCGTCTCAACAGCTGTCTTACCAATAAACCTTATTATTATGAACTCTGCACATGTTATACCTCATCCTGCATCCTTCTCATCTAAACGCTCTTTCTTTTTGCTTCTAGATATAACTTCATTTGGATTAGCATCCCAATTGAAATTAGGTCTTTTACTAGGCTATCTGCCTTCAAGCGAAGTCCGCACATTTAGCTTAACACCGATTCTATTATCCTCTTATTTTTTCGGTTTAGTTTATTTAATTTATTTAGTAAGGGTAATAGGCAATGCCTTTGAAAACACTATTGACTACATGCCGGTACGTCACATACGCGCAAACGTGAAAAAATTAGCACTAATTACATAGTATTGGCAAACAGTGAGTAGCATTATTTTTAAAAGTTAGTTAATTGGTTGGAGTTCAGACTTCGAGGGACAACAGGGGAGGCACGTAATTATCCAAGCGTTGTTTGTACAACTGTAGGGAAGTGGCCTCCACGACTTACTGTGGTGGCCCGTTGCATGAATATTTCAGAGCGGAGATTGAAGTTGGACATTTTCGTGCGCAGCTTCATTGTGTGCCCGCGGAGATGAGGCGAGAGTTGCCACTGAAACATGCCCTAAAAGCGAAGTCCATTCTCAAGACTATGTATTATCTTGTAAACCAAGATAAGATCTGCTCTCTGTTGCCTGTAACACAGAGGGAATAAATTTAGGCGAGCACCTTTCTCCACGACTCCGAGAAAGGACCATCGGGAATTTTGGAGATACTCCTGAAGCTTCTTTCTCTTCCTCATCCAAATGATGGAAGCCATATGCATGCACTCAGCCTAAAGTGCTCCTGTGGCTGCTAACCA